CGGGGTGGGGCTGGCAATATAAGGAGTAAAGGTGGAGAAGATGCACTGCACCATTGCCAGCATCTCTGCCTACACGTCTTCATGCTGGAGCTGGTGTCAAGAGGGGCTGCAGCAATCCTGCCCCAGGCAACTCAGATGGTGGATGTGCTTTCCTGATAACTGGGAGGCCTCTCCAGTTACAACCATCCACCTTAGCCAGTTTATCCAGCTGCAAATGGTAAAGCAGGTTTTCATAGAAGCAGCCCAGCTGCTTGGTATTCATATTGCATGCCCTACCCCCAGCCGTCCTCTTAAATCTATTCCCTTCTCCAGGGTAAGACGACCACCAGGAGAGCAACTGGTGGGTTCTCCTGCAGTCAACTTGTTACCCATTATGATTTCAGAAGAGGCAGCAGGCAGATCCAGCTTGTTTCATGGAATTTGCATAAGGACACACATTTCACCGCTAAACTTCTGGCAGATTTTATTTGTATATACATGACTGAGACAGCAAAAGAGGTAACGGTGAAGCGTCTGTAGTACAGATACTGGTACTTATTCATGCCCATAAGCGTGATTTGTCCAGTAGAATGAAGCTAAGAGAATACTAAAAATAAGCAAAAAAAATGCTAGAAGACAATATGTGATGCCACATCCCTCCCAGACAAGCTGAGGGATGGAGGGCAAGTGGGGACAAACACTCTGCACTGCAGAGGGCTTGTGCTGCTTCCTCCCTCCCATACCATCATTACCTTTACAAGGCCCCCAACACTTCCCAATAGACCTTCCTCACCTGGACTTTTCAAGTACAAAAGCATTTTGCTCCTGAGATAAACATGCAACAGTACAAACACAAACAACAACATCTGAACTTCTGCTTTGGGCAACTTTTCAGTTCTAGGCATAGGCTGGGAGTGGGAAAATGAGGACATGGGACCAGTTCTATAAAACAGAAGGAACCTGCAGGACTAGGGAGGGCAGCTACATTGTGACCTCTCTGGAGAAGACATCACAGCAAGCAATAAAACATGCTGAGAGCTGCCATGTTCACAGATTGTTACTCCATATTATCTATGGTATTGGCTTTACTGTAGGAGTTAGATATATTCCAGCAATTTTTGACAAGTTGCTAGTGAGGATCTGAGTTGGGCAAACATCCTTTCACAGACCTCTCCAGTAACTGTCTCATCCATTGGCCCCATATAAATGCTGTCTAACACCTGAAGGGAAGAGGTCTGCAGCCATGCCACAACTCAGGGTTTGGTCCTCTGCAGGGGGCAGAATATTTGGTACAAACCTGCTGCACAGGTGGAGGTGAAGCAGAAAACAAGTTTCAGCTGTTGAGGCAACTCCTTTCCTTTTCAACCCCCTCCCCAGCTCAGAGAAATAGTTTGCACTGTCCCCATGGCAGATTTCCCTCTTGTAAAGGAGGCAAGATGAAGCCAGTTAATGGAGGGCCAATTTTTCAGAACTGCTGCGTGTGCTACACCATGGAGCCAGGCATATTTTAGGTAAACTGCATCTCTACATAGACCCATTCTTCAAATGAGGGCATTCAAGCATAGTTTCTAATACGTTCCAGCCCAGCCTTCCGCAAGTCGAAATATAACGGCTGCCAGCTCAGAAGAATGGCTTCAGATCCCACTGAGAGAGCAAGACAGTCAATGACAAGCTACAGGGCAAACATAACCCCAAGGTCACAGCAGGAGTGGAGAAGGAATCCACAACACTATTTTCCACAAGGCAGCAGCAGCAACCCACACAAATCCCTGTGCATTTATGTGGTGAAACAAGCCCCCTGCTACTATCCCACTTGCAAAGTATTTATCTGAGGACGCTTTGTTCCCTTTTGCCCATGTTTGTAAGTCCACTGAGACCAAGATACAGGGGAAGAAGAAAACAAAACAACAAAAAAACACTTTTGTTAACAGACCTACACGTTCCCACTGCTAGAAGATCACACTATTGCTAGAAACTGACTGGCTATGTATTCCAGAAGGTGGCAAAGCTGGTCCCTCTTTCTACATGAGGACAACTACACAGTTCATACTAGTTCTGATACAGAAGTTCACACTGCTGAGCATGAAATGTCAACAAGCTCTGAAAAGAGAACAAACTCTGCTGTTGCAGTAAGACAGGGCAGAAAGGAGAATCTATACATTCACCCTAAGGTAGTTTTGACTGTGTACAATGCATGCAAAATGGCTGTGTAGGAAAGGGCTGTCCAGAGAAGTGCCACCAAGACCTTATACTCCAACACCAAATAGCTGTCCTTATGGCCACTTCAGCTAGTCCCTCTGAAATTTAAATGTAGGGACATATGCATTTATGAACTGTGAGGATGCTTACTTTAAGGCAACTCACTTCTGCCTCCCCATGGTGCTTTAACCAGCCACAACAGCCTGCTTCCCAGGGAGGGATGGAAAGAACCCTTTATTTTGTTCTTTGTAGTCAAATCAATTATATACTAACCTGTCTGGCATGGAGGAACAACTGGGTAGCTTCAGAATCCAAGACAGATTCCCTGCCCCCCTCCCCTCCCCTCTTTCTTTTTTAAATAGGCATGTTTGCCTGAGGATGCTATGAAGCAGGAGAAAAGGCAAAATTACCTCCTAAGGATTTACCAAATCAGAGGCAACACTAAGAGCTGGCAGATTACCTAGAAAAGAGGCTAACCAGAGACTCTTCATTCTTGCTATCAGGTTGGGGGAGTGAATGGTAAGGGAGGAAACCTATTACAGTGTTAACAAGAAATGCTCAAATCCTGGCCATTTTTGGTGCTACATTTATTAAAAATCTCTTTAGCTCCATCCATAGCAAAGTAACATTCCCTGCAAAACAAGATGAAACAAAGCTTACCTCAACCATGTACCAGCACTCACTTTAGTGAGCTAGAGCATGTTGTGTATTAGCAGAGGGCAGGGGTGGTTTTGTCAGGCTGATTTCATTCTCTTCTTTGCAAGATCAGTAAAACTGAAGTCTACCCAAAAGTGACTGGATCTGCAAGTCTCACTCTGGCAAAAACTGGTGTTATAGATAGACAGTGAAGAGGAATACCAAGCAGGGTAATCTGCTTGAAGAATCAGTCCATAGATTTTGGAAGCATCTGTTCAGATCTGTTTCTGACATCAGTGGAGTGGAAGTCTGTGATAAACCAACAGTGTGTCCCTGTTTAGCCACAAAGAGCAAATTCAAACAATCATCTCTGTCTTATTGCAAAGAGCAGCTGGTGAAAACTACTTTCCTCATGTGTGGTAGAGGTAGCTATATGCTTGCCTTGCTGTCTAAGACAGCTTTACTGCTGCTGTCAATTTAAAGAGAAGCACCAAGTTGCAGAGGCTGATGCTGCAGCATGCCCACATGGTGGGACATGGGCAAGGCTGGCAGAGAGCTACACTTACCAGTGCCACCGGGACTGACTGCTAGTTAGGAGAGAGCACCTTGCATTCATCACAAGCTCTATCCACCTTTTGCTTTGCTTATGCACAAGGATTACAGCTACTCCTGCCCTCGCAAGAGGCTAAAGAGCAGTGTCAACTGAGTTTGGGCTCCTCCGACTCCAACTGAACAGTACACTCTCCCCAAGCTAAGGCCTCCAGAAGTCTAAATCTCCAAGGGTAACTTTACACATGCTGGGGTGCAGGGCAGGGGTGAGGGGTGGTGCACCTTATAATTAGAGTGCCTCCAAAAGCCACTATAATTGAAGCGCCTTCAGCATCATGTGTATTCAGCATCCTGCACTTGAAAATGGCAGTGGGGGCATTTTACCTAAAGCTCGTTGGATGAGCTTTAGTTAAAAGTGCCTCCACTGCCATTTTCAAGCATGGGGGTGCTGAATACAGGACATGGAAACTAGTGGAGTGTGTTAATTAGCACTCTCCAGCACACTGGATTAATCAATTCTGCTCTGATGCATGCTAATTACCACTTGTTAGATCAGACATCCAGCATGTGTATAGGTGCTCAAAAAGCGTAAAGCCTATTCAAAGCCACATGAGAAGGCTTATTGCTATTGCACACTGCTGGGCTTTGCAATCATGTCATGTGGAAATGCCAACATTCTACAATGCGAACAAAACAAGACCTTGAGTATTTTTGGTCTAAATGAAGCACAGACAGCAGTCACAGGTCTTGTAAGAAAAAATCCTGGTAACAGTCAGAAAAATATGTTATTTTCAACACAATTTACAGGCTATAGAAAATCTCATCTGTAGGGTCCAACAGGATTTTTAAAAAGGACTCACGAGGAACCAAACTTTACCGTTAGAACAAGAACAGCATTACTTCTAGAACATCTCCTTTACTCCTCAGCTTGATCCTGGAGTGAGGATATAATACAGGGACAATACTGGACCAAAAATAAGATACAATACATATCAAGATGCCATGTGGCATGACAGCCATTTTTAAGCTCAGCATTAGGATGGAATCAATGGGAGAGATAAGGTAGGGCTGCATAGAAGACCAACTCGGATAACTAGAATAGGTGGCAAAGGGAATGCTGAAAGATGAGTTGATATGTAGAGGTGCTCCATCCCCCATGTGAAATGCCCCTCTTTAGAGGTACCTTCCTCAGAAGACACCAAGGAAAACAAGGGGCATTGAAGGAGAAAGAATACCAGAGTCAGATTTGACTGGTCATTGTGCATAAAGAACAGTCTTAGGGTGAGGCAAAGCCAGGGACATTAACTCCAGATTTCTTCACAGCTATCTTAGACTTCCCTTTCTTCCTTCAGTGACTGCATTTCCTCTAGCTAGACTTGTTTCTGTACTAGCCACTCCCTGAGGAAGCAAAACAGTCAATATCCTGCAGAAAGGGGGGGAAGGAGTAACCCAACAAACGTAATGTCATAACATTATAATCAAGAACCCTAACATCATCTGAAGGCTGGAAAGGAGCAACAGCTTTAACTGCACTCTGCAGAGCAGCAACAAACAAGGAACATGTTAAGCTCCAAAACCAAATTTAGCAATACACCCTCACCCTCAAAGAACAGCTGTAATAGAAATGCAAGTTTCCCATTCCACACTGCCCCAAACCCCACACTGCAGCAATTACAGATGACAGCAACTCAGCAAGAATGCTCCCCATCGAAGTGTGTACCCAGAAGGCCTAGTGCATTTGCTACATGCAGAACTACACACCCATCAGCAGCAACCGTTTTGTTACATCTGGGCTCACTCGAAAGGCCACAAAAATGCCCAGGCAGAGTTCCTCTGTCACCTAACACCAGGAACCACAGGTAAAGCACTTACCTTTAACTCTGAGGTTGGGTTGCTGTACTAGTTTTAGGAGGAGAGTCAGTTACTTGCTTCCTTGTTGTTCTTTTAAGTTCCAACATAGAAATCCATTTGTGAAGGAGTGGTGCACAGATTTAAAAATGAAGCTAAACTTTGTTCTGTCCAACAGAGGCATGAGACACCAATGCTTCACTACAACAACGAGGCCAGCAAATAACAGCTCCCTAAAATTAAGCTGGACAATGATTCCAGTGCTTCTAGCTGCAGGGTCACTTTGGCAGCTAGGCAGCTGCTTCCATTCACAGAGGAAGGACCAACTCCAGCACAGGCTCAACAGTCAGCACAAAGGCTATGACCACTGAAGCCCTGTCACAATAATCAAGACTGTCGTCTTCATTTTGAGATTTGCTATCCACCCTCATCCCCTCAGCCTTCTTTTCTACTGCCCCAGCATTAGTGAAAAAACTCTGCAAAAGCAGCAACGGGAGGCAAGAAAGCCTTGTTCCAGCCCAATTAAAGGAAGACAACTATTTTGTGCTGCAGCACCTGGTCTGCACATGGCTAGGGAGATACTTGCATGTGATTTATTAGGCCTACATTACACAAATGGAGAGAATGAAAATAGCCTGATGAACCACAGAGAATAGATGGTCGTTGTATTAATTTGCTCTTGACACTAGTGCTAGTCAGTTAGCTGAACTCTCATTGGGCCAGTGCAGTGAGGTGTTTAGTATCACAGAAGCCTCACGCTTGCCTGCTAGCCTAAGCCATCACTACTGATCCTGCCCAAGTTTAACTATCAGTTGCAAAAAGTGTCAGGGGAAGTAAGTGACTAACTCTGGAGCAACCCATGGTTTGTGGCCATTTCCCCTCTGCTGCAGTCCTGCATTGGGGTTCATTTGGTCATTTATTCTTGCCTGTTTGGGATGATTAGTCACAGTGCCCAAACGGGAGAAGATAAAGGCAGTATCAAAAACAGACCTCTCGGTCAATCACAACCCCAAGGCAGGGTTAGCTGCATTAATACAGCCAGTACATAAGAACAGCATGAATGTGCTGCCTTCCATCCGCTCCACAGATACTGCTGGCTCTTACTTTAATGAATGCCCATTCCAAGTGACAGAAGAGAAGTTCAATCTGGAAGTTCTGCTAAAAGCTTCGAAGGAGCAGTAGCAACAGAATCCTAGACCCACCTCCCATCACATCCTACCCCATCTGATGAGCTATCTCCTCCTCTCTCTTCTGTGGGCAGGTCCTCCTACAGAAGGTAGGGCCAAGTGCAATACGAGCCATCTGGTAAGCAGGACAGCAGAGATCCTCACGCATCCCTCAGCTCTTTTGTCCCAGGGTATATTTAAAAACAGCAGAGCAATACAATCCTCTAAAACCAAAGCTGTTTGTTTTTTCCTGCAGTAGTAGGTGGTCCTGTCTGCTCCTGCCACCAGAGTATCAATGAAAGAGCACAGTTCAGACTACTGGTTCTCATCACGCATCTGTTCCATTATGTTGATGAGGCTTTCCAGCCCAAATACATAACCCATGTCAGGTCCATCATGCACAGTGGGATCATCCCGAAAGCCCTTGAATGTGCTGTGTGCGAAGTCAATCATGCGCACATCCACCTTAGGCTGGGCTGAGGGGCTAGGCTCTGTACTTGTGCCATCCTGCAGACTCTCACAGAGAGAGCTGTCCACCCGCTTCAGGCGCATCTCTGCCCTGCGCTCCAGAAACATCCCCGCCCTGCTGTCCTTCCCATCATAAATGATGAGGAGGGAGCTTGAGTAAAAGCGGTAGGAGGCCTGCCTCACCAACACAGCTTTCAGGCTCCGGAGTTTGGTGAGTATAGGTTCAAAGAGGTCCTTGCGCAGCTCTATGCCATTGTGAAGATACTGGTAGAGGGCATTGCGGAAACCTTCAATGGAAAGGCCACGGCCGTAGTATTTATTCCTGCATAAGTAATGGCCTGTATCCAGCTGATAGACCTAGAATGCCAGAGGAGGCACATATTAAATGGGAAGCATGACGAGATCATAGTGATATGCAGAAGGACCAGACTGGACTGCCCTGTGTTGCAACAAGAGGAGATTGTCCTGTCCAGCCACCACTGCTTAAGCGATGTTGCATAAAATAGGACTGGCTAGTACCTTTAATGCTCCTGATATCCCAATATTGAATGTCAGCAGTGCAAGGGGTTCTGCTTGTGTGAATGATGGCTGCCCAGCAATTGGCATTTCCCAACTGGGGGCAGATCTACAGGTATCTGGTGCAGCAACATCTACTGGTGCAGCAACATGCAAAGTGCTGATACAGACATTAAATGTATAACCATGTGGCCCAGAAGCAAAACTGTTACCCACTGAGCCACATGGCTTTCCAAACCTTCGTGGTCCCTCTATGTAATACCTCCTTATTGGTTGCCAATCAGTGTGGTGCATGTTTAACCTGGATCACTCACTGCTGCATAATCCTGAAAATAGATTTAGACCCCTAAAAAGGACAAGTCTTGAATAAAATAATAAGGGGGGTAACTCCATCTCAGCCACAGGGTTCGATATCAGGTGCTACCGGACACAAAATCTTAAAGACACCACTGTTCTGGCTGACAAGTCAAACTGCTGGATTTTAGCACATTTTAGCACATCTTCAAAACACTGGGGGGTATTTTGCTTATGTACAAAAGTAGGTCACAGCCTACATTATCCTAAAAAAGCCAGATCCCCTCACTCTAGTCAAACAGACACAGAAGCAATGTCTTGAGCACATGCTCTATGAAACAAAGCAACATTTACAATCAAGGTGCCATGCAGCTTAACTGAAGGATGGAAGTTCCTGTGCCTAGTAAAGAGTGTTCCCTTTGGGGGCTCCTGAAGTTCTAGCAGGAGTGGAAAAGGGGATCTATGCCACAGGGGCACTCCAGAGAGATCCCCTGGAAATACCATACCTGCATGCCACAGACTCTCACACCCAATGTTGCCGAGGTGCTCTGTTCACACTTCTTCATCTGCCGAGCAGCCTTCTCCTCAGAGGCATCGTCTCCATGCTGCCTAGTCCCCATCTTCAGGTCTAGTACACAGGGAAACTTGAAATGGTGCACCACATTCTCCAGCAAAAGGAACTCTGGAAAGTGTGTCAAGGTTAGCACATCTGTCAGAGCTACCCCCCATCAGCACTACCACAGCTGGGCTCAAAAGAGGCTTTGGGAGATGCTAGAGTTAAAGTAAAAAGCATGTGTGGGAAAGGAAAAACATGGTTCAAAAACCAATACAGGAAAGAAAAGAGAAAAGCTCAACAAAACAAGAAAGGAAACACCTACCAAGGCAATGCTACTGGACAGAAATACACATCCAGGCTGTCAGAGGAAAAGAAATTGAGAAGAGATGATGTAGTGAGACAGGTAAGGCCTAGCCAGTGGATATGGCTACAGTTAGTTAAAACCTCATCCTTCTCCCAGGTCTCTGCCACTGCTGCCACTGAAGGGTCATAGTGGAGAAGTAAAGGAAAAGGCCCCCAGCATTTGACATAGTTGGTCACTATTTGTGCTAGCTGAGGGGAAGCATGTACTCCAGGTACAGTAGCCTGAGTGCCAAGTGCTAGCCACTCCAGGCAAAGGTGTGAAGCAGAGGCAGCGAGCAGCACATGGCTCCACTTTCTAGAGGATACTGTAGAGTTTTCGGTCCTTGGACTCTGATCGCATACGGCTCAGCTGTTGCTTGTGACATCGCAAACTCCATGGGTTATAGCTAATCTTTTCAGAGCTAAGACCACTGTTTCCATCCAGCATCTGAAATGGAACATCTGAATGGATGTGCAAGTCCATCTTGGGACTCTTCATTTCCTGGATGCTGTTGGAACAGAGAAGAAAACAGATCTCCTTGGTAGTGCCTGTATGCAGCAGCTGCCCTTTCAGACACAAATTAGACTACAGTTCCAGAGTGCTTATAAAGGCACAAACAAACATATCCTCCCATCAGGCAATGTTTCCCTGTTCCTCTCCTACTATACACCTCACACAACCCAGAAATGCCAGCTTCTCTGCAGCAAACCAACACCTCTAGGTAGCAGAACAATGCTTTTCGGGTTTCAGTTTAAACCGTGCCTGTGCTAAGTTTACAGAATATGTAGAAGGACAAGATCGCAGTCTCAAGATGTCACCATACCTAGGTTTTGACATGAAATACAAAGATATGGAAGGGAGGAACCCAGTCCCCCAATCTACCCTTCAGGTCAATGAGCTGCAGTTAGAATTCTCAGCATTCTGAGATAGTGACACCAGTATCTTCCCTACCAGAACAGGGCTTAAAGGGCACTATGCACTCAGAGATCAATGGCGGTTATGCTTTCACATACTAAGATAACAGGGAACAGACAAGTATTCCAGACCTCTCAGCAAACCTGCCTTCTCTTTCATACTTGGATGGAGCCTGTGTTTAGCTATTCTGCCTACACTTACATAAGAAAGAAGGGGGCAGTCTGTACCACTAGGGACAATCCATCTGTGCAGAGGTTAGAAATCTTTGACTCACTTTGAGGCACAGGACAGCTTGCACTCTGAAGTCTGGCTGGTCCCATTAAGAGCTATTCCATCAGCACAGTCCTTTGCTTGGGCTGCTAAAAGTTCAACGGACCTGGCAGAGATGTTTACAAGTGCCTGTCAATGTCCCCAGTGTCCTGTCTAAGGGAAGAGATTCCTGACCCAAGGCTCAGGTTATACATTAGCCAGTTGCAAGAACTTCATATCAGAATACTAAGCAATCCAGGGCCTTCCTAGCAGCAACTGTATGGCACTCAGACTGCTCACGATTAGAGCAAGCCAGTCATTCATTCTGCCGGCACCTACAACAGAGCCACAATGTTGTGTCAGATCATAGGAGCTTGTACTAGCAGACAGCACAGGCTAGCCAGGAAAGTGCAGCCTTCACAAAGGAAATCTGAAAGGTTTTCAACTTTCCTAAGGCTGCACCAGTGAGTAGAAAAGAGTTCCTTCAACAAAACTTAGGAATGCACAACAGAGCTGGCCTTTTCACTAGGACACACCTGACTCTAGTGTGGTATCTGGAAAGAGCTGATGCCCAAAAATGGGGCAATCCTGTGGCAGTCAAGGGTTGGTACAGAGAAGCAGGAATGTGACAAAACTCCTAAAAGACTCTGCAATCACTACAATAGCAAGCATGTGACATTCAACCTAGCACGTGCAACTGCAGAACTGTCGTTAGGGAGCACAAAGCTCACAGAAGTACATAAAAGTGGCTTCCCTAAAAGTTGTGTTGTCCTCAGCCCACAGTCCCTTTACCTCTCAGTGCTGTCACTGGCCAACCCAGGTTTCTCCTCCTTGTGCTCAATGCTACTGCTGGATCTGTGAAGGCTCCTGCGTGAGTGTTTGCGTCGGGGCTGGTCCCTCTCAGGCATGTCATCCTGTTCCAAAGTCTCATTCTCCACAAAGGGGTATGCTACCAGGTTGATGTAGCCATCACTGTCTCCTTCAAAGCAAACAGACACAACACCTGCAAGAAAAAGGCAACATACATCAGTTCAAACAACTCATTTCCCAGCAGTCCCTCAACAGGAAACAATGAATACATGCAATGGAAAGGTTAGAACTTTCAGCAGAACAGATATTGAAGCAGCACAAATTGAGAACCATGTAACAGGGCTGAAGAGACAAAGCCCTGCAAAGAGACTGAGATACTTCCACCTAAGCGTCTTGCAAAAGGAAAATCCCTCAGACACAATATACCATGCATTCACTGGCATCTGTCCATGGTATGAGCTAGCAATTAGTAGCCCAGAGCTCCACAGCCCTCAGAACTGAACACCTATGGCACTTGTACATGTGTTTAATTAAATAGATTTAATTAAATAGATTTATTAAGATTGAAATGATTTGTTTTAATTTGATACATTATTGTTTACAGGTGATAGCCTTTAAATTGAATTAAGCTCAGTGCGCAATTCAAAGTACATTACACCAGGGAGAGCAGCATAACAATCCACCCCCCTGATCTTTTTGCTACTCCATTACAGAAGGGAGTGCAGCAATCCAGTAATCCCCTCACTCCCAAAACACAACCTCCCCGCCCCTCAAAGCTCTAGCTGCCTATATGGAGCCCCATGACAATCCACTTACAAAAAAAAAGCACACCACATCCAGAAGGAACTTCATAAATTAAAACCTTTATTTACTATAAACCATTATTTATATACTATAAAAATATAAAATATACTATTTTTTGTTTATCGCTTTAAAATAAATAAATGAATGAATGAATAAAAACAGCCAACATAAATAAACTTTTCCTCAACTGGATGGGGCCAGCTGGACAGTGGCATCTTCTATTTCTCTTATTTGCTACCCTACTATTTTCTATTTCTATCATCTTCTATCTTCAGTTTTCTTCTATTTCTAATCTTCTAATAGTCCTGCAGGGGAAAAAAGAAGATGGGTTTTGGCCTATACTCCCAAATCCACCTTCTTCGCCTCCCCACTACAGGCTACAAAATCTCCCATGGGAGATTTCTCCAAGCATTATGTCTATCAAAGTCTATGCATCACCCAGGATGCAACATAGCCCAGGGGAGGGGTCTGGGAGGATACCTCTGCCGTGCACGTGTTTTCTGGAAGACAATTATAACAAAGACGCAAGTTATCCCAAAATATTAACATGTAACATGTGCGAAGGCACACCCCCTCAATGGCAAACTTACCATGTGCTGCACCTGCTCTTGCATCCCTTGCAATGCAGGTGGGTTCTGGGGTCTGTGTGGTTGAAGGGTGTGGACAGAAGGAGTGGAAACATTACCACCATAGGCAGTGGGGGCAGTAGAAAAACCATCACTATATAAAGAGCAATCATGGGGGGGGGGGGG